TAATGATATATAGGCGTGAAATAAGCATTAGCTTTAATAGGTAGCGCCGGCTGATCTCCTTTAAAGATGATATTATAAAGACATATAGGTTGTCATTACATTTAGTTGTAGTTGTCGTTGTGGTTGTTGCTGCTGTTGCTTTCCAGGGAGAGTATTATGGAGTCGGTTATTTATACCTATTTTTTTCAATTTTGTGGAGTTTAAAGAAAGGTGTTAAATACCTCAACTAAGTGACAACATTGGCATCAGTCTTTTGTTTTGTTTTTGTTTTTTTTTTTTTTTTAATATTTATTTTGATAAAAATAATTTTTGAGGAGCAAAAAATATTTGTATTAAGTAATTGAAATTTTCTACAAACCGAATATTTAATATTTAATTTAATTTAATTTAAAAATGTTAGTCCCAACACCTCTCAACTTTATTCTGTCGAAGATCATGTCCTCAAACCTAATATAATAAATAAATAAATAAAACAGCAGACCAACATGAATATAATTTTTAATTATCTCCAATTTCTTATTTTCAATAATTTTTGTAAGCACAATTGGCGTAACGTCCCTAACTATTTTACATAATTTATTGGGCTGACCTTAAGTTTAGCTATTTACCAAATAAATTCGAAATATTGTTATTTACTGTCCAAGTAATTTGTAATTAATCATGCGTGCTATGGACTCCATTGCCCCACAAAATAAAAAAAAAACCTCTGCCTAACAAGATTGTAGACACAATATCTAATGATGTTTACGCAAGCTAGAGGAAACCATGCATCAGCTCTTGAAGTAAAAATCACATCAAACTAAGCCCAAGTGATTGAAGTAGCAACAAAACACGCTGCGCTCTTAAGAGCCACCGACTGGGCACCATCAAGGCCACAAGCGAAATTTAATCGCTTTAAATGTGAAATTATTTACAAGCTAGAAAAAATAGAAAAAAGAGCAATACATAAAAAAATGAAACTGAAATGAGGCTGAAATTGAATTCGAAGCACATCACATAATCAAAACAGTTGTCGCTTGATTTCATTTTCGAGCGCGCATCGAGTATGAATTCGTGATTTTTTAATTGCAAGAGCGCATCTCTCACCTGTTTTGCTTACGGCTTACGGCGTACGGCTTACGGCTTATGCTTTCAGTGCGATCTCATTTGAGCCCACTCTATGCTCTGGTATTCAATTTTCGTTTCGTTTCGTTCTATTCCACCAGAAGCGAACACGATTAATGGCCACATTCGTATGCAGCCGGGGAGTTGTGTGAAAGGTGAATACTTATGGCATATCGAGTCGCCTCTGGCGTTACTTAGCTTTGATTCCGATGGTGCTACCGTTTCAGCAAATGGCACGAAAAGTGAAAGCCCAGCTGTGGCGCCAGCAATAGCCATAAATATACACACATATATGCATACATACATACATATTGTGGTTTATTGTCTGGCAAAGCGATTAGCTCACAGAGTTATTGATTTGTTAGTTGGGGCGCCTAATTTAAACTGGCGGCCATTGGCATTTCTCTTTAAAATGCAAATATGCTTATTATACCAAAGTCGAATCTCTCATGATAGTTAATATGTTTCTGCTAATATTATCAGCTCATCTTGCTTTCATCATTCGCTTCCGCATATATGGATTATATTTGGGTGATAATCTTTTCGAATCAAATTTAATTGTTAAATAAGTCACGCGATTGTTTTATAACATTCTTTTTATGACTGAGTCTTTCCTTTAAGTATTTACTATAAGTATTTCCTCTAAGTATTTTCTTCAAGTATTTCCTTTAAGTATTTCCTCTTAGTCTTTAATGCATAGCTGAACGATCACTTCACTTTACTTTACTGCACTGCTCGACTGACCCCTACCAGTCTTGGGCGACTGAAGAATTGCTGCAGCTCCTGCCCTTTATATAGGGCACCTTTCCCTCAGTCACTAAAGTCGCTCTCAAATGTTGAGCCCGACGATAGCTCTTTGCAGTCGAGCCTTAAGTAACCAATGGGAACACTCTCTGCTGCTGCAAGCATTCTAGCTTCGTTTTAAATGATCTTCGGTCCTTCCTCTCTATTCCTTACTCTTGTAGGGTACAGAGACAGAGAGACAGCCAGAGAGACGTATGAACACCTCTACATTTCACTTTACTGCACTGCACGACTGACCTCCACCAGGCCTGGGCGACTGAGGAATTGCTGCAGCTGCTGCCCTTTATATAGGGTGTTCCTGACTCTACAGAGAGGCAGCCAGAGAGACATACGATCGTATATTTGTGAACACGTCGAACTCCATTAGCTATAAGAGCTAGAGAGCCAGGCCCTATGCGTGTGCACACATACATTCTAACAAGCTTGAGCCGTATTCTATGTGGATATGCGTGCATTCTATACTAGAATTCTACGAATCGAAATTGTTATTTAATTGTGGTTACTGCTTAAGTGAATTGATGCAAAGATTTC